GATTGCAGTTTGCATCAGATAGCAGAACTCAGTAAGACAGAGAATTATGCTGAACCCGGTAGTGTCCAGGAATGCTTGTTCCTTAAATTAAACAAAATGTTGAGACGATGTGTTCCATTCTATATGTGCTAGTTACCAGCCATGCGGGTTATTCCTTTCGCGAATCAAGAGGTATTACCACGTTCATTGCTGGGTGGGTTTTTCTCATGGATCTTATTTGGTGAAGTAGTCGGGCACCATCGTGCTCACAAAGTGATCGGCTACACATGACCGGGAGTCAATCGCCAATTCACTATTATACAGCTATCAATACAGTACCATTGGGTCACTTTACGCCACTCATGTCCTTTCCGGACCTCCTTGATGCTGAAGAATTGGTGCTTGTAGTGATTGCTCCTTCTAAGAATACAGTAAAACATCTCATTTCCTTATTTGCAATAATCAAGCCAAGTTATTCGCAATATTGAAAACCTTGCAAAAAAGTGGAGTCTGTTCGAGGCATTGGTACAGAGTGTTACCGGCGTGGGATGTCAACGAACCGGTTTTTATTACATTTTTCATTCCACTTAATGTGATGATTCAACGTGTCCTTCACCAAGAAATAGCTTTTATTATATTCCATAGTTATCTAAATCACGCTGGGAAACATCACTAAGGTGAACCCATCGAATATACCGAACACGATGGGCTGACTATCCGAAACGCCGACATTTGGGGCTACATGGGTGACCTCAAAACACGTAGTAAGCATTAGTTTCGTTGAACTATTCGGAGGCTACCATAGCAGAATCTACTCCCTGAGACATGAGGTCCTCTCAGCTGGTTTAAACTACGACTAAGCACGTAATTTGTCCCTGCCGAGAATGGAATTTGTTTGATCAAAGTGATTCTAGACACTTGGTTTGTTCGTTAGATAACAATTGTTTACAATAAAAAAAGTGGTACATTATGCTTCTATTTAGATGATTATGTATTTAAATGTAACAGAAAAGAGCACTGGAGAGCTGTTTCGTCTTGTTT